CTGCAAGAGAAAAAGAATCTTTGTAACAGAGAGATCTGACTGTTACCACCCTAAGCTGACCAAATTTAGTATCTCTAATATGGGAACACCTTCCCTGGTCTCTTGATGTGATGCAATGTGAAGTGCCTAGGACTAACAGGAACGTATTATTACACAACAATTAACCTGAATCGAATAGAGCCTATAGACCTAGTGTTCAGTTTATAAGCAATACCGGGAATAGAAGAATATGTTCAATGACACCATAATGAGACAGTAAGAGAGATTTGGAATGTGGGACATCCTGTAAGGCAACTGATGTGGTCTTTTCAGAAGGTCAAGGTCATGGGGAAAAAGGGGGGAGGACTGCTCTTCTAACTTTCCTGTTCATTTGAACTTTTCTTACTAGAAAGTTGGAAAAATATTTTCTTGTCGATCATTAGAGTCTCTCCCTTCCATGCATCCTCAAGTCCCTTGACCCTCTGCTTACTTTGTCCTAGTTGCCTGGTAAAACCTCAACCCTGGCTAAATCCAGCTCTCAGTTTAGCTTACTCTGTGCTTGCACCTGGCAGTTGAATGGGGCCAGGGAAAAAACCATACATGCACATGGACACACAAACACACACACACACACACACACACACACACACTGGCAGGTCTCAGTTAAATTCAAGTGAGCCCTTAGTGCAGCTGGCAATTCTACTACATTTCCCAAGTCCAGTCACTCTCTCACTTTCCTGGATGACTGTTATATCCTGTCTCCTCTGTCCCCCAGTGTTGTACTTCTCACCTTTATTTCAACTACAGACTTCATTTCCTATTTTATTGAGAAAACAGAAGCAACTGGAACCTCTGCAAGTCCAACCACCAGGATCAGTGCCCATATATTCAACCTTCCCTCCTGTTACTGTGGGTGAACTTCCAGGTCCCTTTTCAAGGCCGCATCCACTTGTTACCTGGACCCCCTTGTCATCTCACCTGGCACACTCCTCCTGTCTGCTGCATCAACACTTTCGTCTGTAACTCATCATTCCCATTAAAACACACATGTCATAATATCTTGTATCTTAACGAATAAAAACTCCTTGGACCAAACATCCCTTTCAGCTCTGTTCCATTTCTCTGCCTCCTTTATGGCAAAAGAGTGTCTGTACCTGCTGCCTCCAATTCTTCTCTCCCCATTCTCTACAGTGGTCAGACTTTTGCCCCCAGAACTCCATTGAAACTGCCCTTATCAAGGTCACCCATGACCTCCCTGGTGCTAAATGCAATGCTCACATCTCCGTCCAGTCATGTGGCACTATCTGGAGAGTTGACAATTCCATCCTCCCTGACATGCATTCTCGCCTGGCTTTCAGACCACCACACTCTCCTGGTTTTCCCTTCTCTGTGTGGCTCTCCTCACCCTCCTTTGCTAGTTTCTGACCTTCCTTCTTAACTTCCCGTTCGGCGGTACTAAGCAAGTCAAGTCAAAATATCTGAAATGGAATCCTGATTTCTCCCCATCGCAAAGTTGCTCCACCCACCTTATCTTCTGTATAGCCCATATCTACCTGCTAATAGTGTGGACAACCATCCTGGTCTATCTGAGTTTTAGATTAAAAATCCCACAACGTGGGAAATCCTCTGGTCCCAAGTAAACCAAGACAGTCATTCATCCTACTGCTATACTATGTTTTACCCTTTTATTGTCGGTGTATTAACACTGTAGCAATATATTCCTCTACAAGGGCAGGGATTTGGGGCTGATTTGTTCATGATAACCTGTTGTACATAATAAGTTCTTAATAAATGTTTATTTAATGAATTAATGGAGAGCCAATAATGACTATGATAGATTAGGATCATCCAGTGCTTAGTATAAATTCTCAATAGTGGATGCTTACAAAATAAATGAATGAATTCCCTGTAAATTTATACATGATTAAAACAGGTATACAAATACTATAACAATAATTAGTATTTAAATGGCTAACTGATGTGCGAATTTGACCCCAGTTAGCATGCTAAGTTCTATCTCCCCTTTATGGATGCTACCCACATTCTCCTTTTTGATACTATTACAAACACTAATACATACACACGACATAAAGTATCATGCGTAACGTCTGTAGACCCTCAGTAATTTAGAGCATCCCCGCCTGGGAATCTTGCACACTTTACGCACTTTAAGATGATCAGATGGAGCTGCTCCCAGAGCGCCCAGTTGCTCGGGCAGAATCCCGGCAGCACTTGTGCCTGACGTCCCGCCCCCCGAAGTTCTGCAGCTCCCCCGACTTCAGAACTCGGCTGACTTGAAAGTTGGGGCATAATCTCAGCACAGTTGTAATGACTACAGATGTCAAACTTTTCAAAAGAGAAAAAATCTGGCAAACTATTCAAAGAAAAAGAAAAGGCTTTCTGAGGTCCAATGGAGTCTTTTCAAGAGGTACCGGTAGTTCTGGAAGGACCTGAAGAGCAGACAAGGGAAGGAGATGGGGACAAACATGTCCTATTCCCGCGGGGAGCTCAGCGCTTAACAACAAAATTGAGCGGCTCAGAGGCAATTATAGAGAACACAGACTCCAACCAGAGAAAAGCCTATGAGGACAGAACAGGGAAAGAACTGGGAGAGCTGGGGGAAGGGCAGGGTGGGTTGTTGTCCAGGTCCTCAGCGTGAATCAGCACCTGACCCTGTCAGGGTGGCTAAGGTCACTTCCCTAACTAAGATAGCAGAGTGATCAGATGCCACCTGTGCTGTAACGAGGGTCCTGTTTCAGGAATTGCCTTTGGGGTTCCTGGGAATTTATCTGGTGATCTAAGTGCCTAGTGTCTAAGAGCAATTTCTGTGCTGGTCCTCTGGTCCTTTCTCACATGCTTCATTCTTCCCTCCAGGTCTAGTCTTGCACTCCCAGCACCTGAGCTACACTTAGGGGTAAGAAAGTTACACAAAACCCCTCCAACCTGCTTAGGTGTTTCCCCAACCCCAGGGAAAGGCCCCCTGCCCCAGAAGCTTCTTACTTTCTCTCCTCCCTCAAGCTCTGCAGCACATTGGAATCACCTGGGGCTCTAAACACTACCGATGCCTGGGTCTACCCCATCAAGAGACTCTAACAGTTGGGTTGTGGCCTGGGCAGTGGGGTTTTGAACAGCTCCCTGGGTGACTTTAATGTGCAGCCCGGGTGAGAAGCGCTGCTCTAGATACTGAGCTGCAGGCGTGATCCTTTTAGATGAATATCCTGCAGGTCCCTTTGCCTGTATCTGAGGGAAAGGGGTGACAGGGAAGGCAGACACTGACTTGAGGAGGGCTGGAAGGCAACTTGCTGTGCTGGGGGATCAAAGAGCAGAAGGCAGTGTCCCAGTCCTCCAAGCCCAATCGCCATCTGTTCCAGGACATTTTTGAGGCTCTAGTCAGTTGCACAAGTGAGTAAAGTGTTGATTTTGAAAATGAGAGCATATCAAATTCACTTAAATTTGGCTAGGCAGAGCTCCATAGACCAAGAGAAGTAAAATCCAAGAGTAACTCTGGCCTTGCCATTAGAGCAGTGGATCTGAAACTGGAGTGTGCCTCAGAATCACCTGGAGGGCTCGTGGAAACAGATCGCTGGGCCCCGCCCCCAGATTTTCTTATTTAGTGGGTCAGGGTGGGACCCAAGGATGGGCATTTCTCACAAGTTCCCAGATACGTGGATGCTGCTGGTTGGGGGCCACCGTCTGAGAACTGCTGCACTGGGGTGTTTCACTGTGAACCCAATGAAATGACATTTCCACCTGAAGCCATTTATGGTTAGATGTGTAACACGGTCTGCCTTAGCTACTCTTCAAAATTTTACACCACCAAACTGAGTGAAATGAAAAAAAAAAACCAGGCAAAAACCGAGATATTAGTTTGGTTGAAAATAACATTCTTGGATAGGTAGAAATATTTGGAAGGATAACATGTTTTTTCTCCCCTGCTCCCTTCTTTCAAGTATTTGGTTCAAAGAATTGGGCTTTGAGTTCACCATGGTAGTTTCAAAAATGATGTATATCATCATGGCCTGAAAAAAAAATCAATGCAGTTTCCAGAAATGCTTCACTTACTTCTGGGCAATAGTCTGTGTATCTGAAGAAACAATTCTAATAAATCAGTAAAACACCCTGGTCAGTCTTAGTTTGTGGGTAAATCTCTGTCAGGGATTATAAATGTAAAAACTCATTAATGAGACATTTTGGCAGATAGCTTTGCTAAAAATCTAGCAAAGATAGCTGAACATCTATGATATGTGCTCTCTTATAAACTCTTCATTTTCCATGATCAATCAGTAAGAAAACTAATATTTCACAAAGCTAGTTCTTTAGTCAATGCGTATTTTGTTAACCCTGGAGTAAATTCAGTCTGCTAAAGTTATCTGGAAAATATTAAGTGTATGGGGAGCAGGAGAATACCATTTCTTTTAATAGGCAATATTGTTCCTAATTTATATAAAATCACTCAGCAAGGACCCTGGCACACAGTCACCAATAGGAGAGCAGAGTATGAATGGCTTCTTCATCTGCTGTCTATCCTCCCAGAGTTTCTCAGTAGCCTGGCATTAGAAACACATCAGCGAATTGATACAGTCAGAATTTTTTCCCTCAGGTGTTTTTTGTTGTTGTTGCTATTATTGCTTGTTTGTTTGTTTTGATGCTTACTTGTACAGCTAAGACCAAAATCTTAGGAAATAGGAAAGCATAAAAGATAATACCTCTCCCTCAAGTGTGTTTTGTCAGAACCAAATCACCTGTATTCTAAGTTTCCACATTCACTGCTCAGAGAGATTTTGAATAATTTTCAGTCTTCCCAGAGTTCTTTATATGTACCTCTGGCTTCAAACAAGACCCAATTATTCTACTTGTCTCAAATGTTAGATTTTTACCTGGGAATCACTCACCTTTATTTAAGTAATGAAAACATAACTTTGGAAACAAAGATGGCAAAATATCAAAATAAGTTTGATTTTTAATAGGAAATATCCCAGCCTTGATTTTTAAAATATGTCACTGATTATTAACAGACTTACTTGCTAATAATGAGGGTTTCCTCTCCACATATCCAGACTCTCACGAATTCACCATACGTCTTGTTGTAGTAATTGCAGGTACTGCCGATCCCCATCCAGAGGAACCTGCAGTGGGAAATGAGGGGCCCAATTCCCAGAAAATAGCCAGGACCTAGGAAAGTCATCAGATTACAATCAGTATTTCCGTAGCACCAAAAAGACAAAGTACTTTAAATTACTGTTGTTCTTATTCCTTTATGTCTACATGTCCTTTTACATCTTCTGATGTATAGAGGTGAATCACGTACACAAAATGATTAAAACCACAACACAAGTTAACATGAGGCTCTTCACAGCTCTATGAGTAAAAAGTTGTCCAGTTGACACCACACCAGTTCCATTTGGTCTCAATCACTTCTGTCTGAACAAACTGGAATAGGTGTCTAGTCTATTCTTGCTGTGTTAAACGGTGTCTATGGGTTTCAAATACAAGTCGATCAGTCCCTCTGGTAACAGGCATGGAAGCCAGGACAAGTGACAAGTTGACAGATCTGTCTGGCTGCTAGTTTTGTCTGAAAACTGGGTTTGAAAGCACCAGTCAATGGAGTGGGTGGATTTGAGTTAATTTGTGGTTTTGGTGTCATCTTTTTAACTGTGAGAAACATGGCCTGCAAAGACAATGTCCAAACAAAAAGCATGCATTCCTGGGGCTTCCCTGGTGGCACAGTGGTTGAGAATCTGCCTGCTAATGCAGGGAACACGGGTTCGAGCCCTGGTCTGGGAGGATCCCACATGCCGCGGAGCAACTAGGCCCGTGAGCCACAACTACTGAGCCTGTGCATCTGGAGCCTGTGCTCTGCAACAAGAGAGGCCGTGATAGTGAGAGGCCCGCATGTTGCGATGAAGAGTGGCCCCCGCTTGCCACAACTAGAGAAAGCCCTCGCACAGAAACGAAGACCCAACACAGCTAAAAATAAATAAGTAAACAAATGTGGGGTTTAAAAAATAAAAAGCATGCATTCCTTTTTTATTTCCTTAAAAAAGGATTTGGTTTAAGAAGAGAATCTTAAGCTAAATCTCATTAGACTAAATAAAGCTAAGCACTGAAGAATGAGGCAGTGTGTCTGATCTGTGTCTAGACCAGAGTCTGAGTCCAGTGATGTGGTTTTAGTGAAGAGCCGTGGCCCTTACACCCTTGCTGACGCAGATGATGACAGAATTGTGAAGACTGTGAATCTGGTGAGCAGCCAGGGGAGTTGCTGTTGCTTGTATCAGAGAACAAACTTGGTAGCTTGATTTTAGTGGTGGTGGTGAAAAGTTCGTCAGAAGCTTGTTGGAATGGTTTTAGGAGTTTCATTGTAAAGTTATACCATTTCTGTATCTTACTCCTTTAATTCCATTCTGTCAGTGAAATAGTCCTGGAGCCAAAACTCACACAACTGTCTGAGACAGTACAGAGCTATAATAATTTAGATAATCTAAATTTTTGTTTTGTTTTGTTTTCTTTGGCTGTGCAGCATGGCTTGCAGGATCTCAGTTCCCTGACTGAATGTGGGCCATGGCAGTGAAAGCTAGGGATCCTAACCATTAGGCCACCAGTGAACTCCTTAGATAATCTGACTTTTTGCATGACTCATCTAAAGTGGAAGTTCAGTCCCAAATTTGGCAAACAGGGTTTACTCCTTAACTTTGCGTTAGCAGGATTAATGTAACAAATACTACCAGGTTCTTTTGTCTTTAAAGTTCTTTGTTAATGTTTATAGCACCAATATAAGAATTTGAGTTCTTTGGATCAAGGGTTCTTAATCTTAAGATTGTTCTCATAACACTACATTATACAGTTATATAGTCAGATGACTGACTTTATATTAAACTAATTTCATTGAGTTCTCAAAAAGAAATAAGCTGATTTGATTGTATACATATTTCCTTAAAATTTAATGACATACTGACCTTTTATCAATACAAATATGCATAATAACAAAACACTTTGTATTTACAGCTTGAAACATTGTAGATCCTCAATAAATGTTTCCTGAATGAATTTTTACAATTTATTAGACATGTGTAAAGAATGAAGTTTTAAATGTCATCCTTATTTAGAATATTTTAGGTGTATTTACATTTTGATAAAATGGAAAAATATCTTATATCTCATACATTTAATCCATGTGAAGTCAAACACCAGTCTATTTGGGAATAGACTTTTTCAATAAAGATTTACTTCATATACTATGGCCATGAGGCACAAAGACATACAAATGAAAGGCTGCACTTTCCATGTTTTATCTAAATGTTTGTTGCTATGTGGAAAGTCTTAGTATTTGGAAACCGCCAATCAAATTTAAAATATGACAGTGAAGAGCTGTATCTATTGAAAAAGGGAGATTGTGATGAACTCTGCTAAGGCTGAGAACCGGAGTGTTTTAACCATAAGAGAATCAGAGTTTGAGTCTTCAGCAGTCAATCGTATTTCAACTTAATTCATCCAACAAACCCTGAAATCTTACTAGGTATAGACACTAGCTCCAACTTAGGGACCCGTGATGGTATGGTAAGTATAACTAGGTCCCCATCAGATCCTGGGCAGGGAAAAGGAATGTGAAAAAAGCACAAAATCAAATAATTATCACACAATATGATCCTTTCAGTTAACGAGTATATCTTATACCTTCCTGTTGGAGAGAAGAATGCTCTGGGCGGGGGAGAAATTTTGGTAGAATATTAGGGAAATACTCTGGTTGTGTCCACATTACACTGCTCTCTGCTTCTCAGATTTGGGAATGCTCATCTAGGCATGTGTGAGTACAGGAGTCTCTTGCACACCCTCAGAGGAGCAGTAAATACTTCACTGAATTTTTGTGCAGAGATGGCCTCCGTGAAGCCAACAGCTGGGGCCTCCCACCCTCTGTCCTAATCAAGAAGCTGTTACGTTCCATGCTGAGTGTACACCCTAGAGAATCCAGTGCACAGGAATGTTCATAGCAGCACTGTTCACAATAGCCCCAAGCTGGAGACACCCTAAATGTCCATCAACGGTAGAATGGGAGATTAAACCATGGGGTGTTCATATAACTGCATACCATATGAACTGCAGCTGCATGCCACAACCTGGATGAAACCCACAGGCAAAAAGGTGAGCAAAAAAGCAAGACAGAAGAATAATGTAGGATTCTATTGCTAAAGCATGTAAAACCAGGCAAAACTAAAGTATGTTGTTTGGAATATGAAATTAGGTGAAAAATCTATAAAAAAAAAAAAAAAGCAGGGGAGCAATCGTTAAGAAATAGAAGGTTATTTACTTCTGGAAATGAGAGAGGGTATGATTGAAAAGGCACAAGAAGAGTTTCCAGGATGCTGCTAACATCCTACTTCTTGTCCTGTCTGTGATGACATGTTTATTTGTGCATTTTCTGTATTTTTAATGAGCAAAAGGAGACTATTGCCATGTCCTTTTTTTCCAGTGCTCCCATAAAGAATGTGGTGCCCAGGGCAGAGAGGGCCTCTGGGGGAGAGGACCCACGTGCAAGGTTGGGCATCGCCCTGTATCACTGGGGAAGGGAGAGCTGCCAGGTGCCAGGTAACTGTAGTCCTGGCAGAGACCAGTGAACTGGGTCAGTTTCCCCAAATTGAAGCTTACAAAACCCCCAAATAGGAATGATTCTTTCCTCTCCGAACCCTCACGGCCATCGCTGGCACTAAGTCCTCTGCCTGTGTGTGTCACCTTTGCACACTCGTCGACCCCCCTGTCCCCATCACCTGATAATGCAGGGCCTCTCAGGAGCTTAGATTTGAGTCCCAGTTTCATCACTTACTAGTTATGGACACCTAGCCTCTTTAAGTCTCAGTTTCTTCATCTGTAAAATAGGCATCAACACACTCAACTCACCAGAGTGCCCAGAGGTTCACAAGAGAAAATGGTGTGAAACTGCTTTGAAAACTGTAACTTACTAGAGGGCTTTGGCTCATTGTACCCTCTCAACTCTTTGGCTTCACTGACCCTGAGATTCCCCATATGTATAAAGCTAAGAATCCAGAGAGCCAGTGATTGGAGGGATCTGGCAAAAGGAGTTCAGAAGTATTGGTCAGCAAGACCCATCCTGCAAGGCCAGTGTCCTCACCTTCCCTTCCCCAACCAGGAGTCGCGGGATCTCAGCCTGGGCCAGAGGTTTCTAGAGCTAGAAGGTTCTGACCAGACCTCACATTTTCCCAAGGAAAGCATGGAACTAGAAGCTCCCTGGTAGCAAAATGATCATCTACCTGGGATTTAGGTCTTCCTGGTGGTTCCCCTGCTCCCCCTATTGCCACTTTCCTTCCAGTTGAGATGCTGGCAAGCCATCTCCCTTCTGTGGCTTTAACCCCTCCCCCATGAAATGAGGAGTTTGAACTCCACAGTTACTCGTACTTGTCACAATGGTTTGCCTGGGCAAGGCAGAGCCCTTCTCTGAGGCTCAGTTTCCCCTTCTGTCAAATGAACGGGTTGGGCTCCATTCAGTGGCTCTCAACCCTGAATGCTCAGGAAAGCCACCTGGGAAGATGTTAAAAAAACAAAAACCCACATGGGGATCCTCCTCAGGCAGGGCTGAGAACCACAGGACTATGTAATAGTGTCATAGACTATCAGTATATGACAGCATGATGTCCCCAGCCCAGAGGTGGTGGACAGAGTGAGCTACCACCTAGGCTCCTGGTCCAGGGCTTCAAGGATGCCAGTTCTTGTGTTTGCCCCTCCCCAAAGGTCCAAGGGAGTTCTACCATCACCTGCAACATAAACATCTGGGGGGAGTTGTTAAAAAATACCTCCTCCCTCACCTCCACCTTTCATGGACCCTGACTTGGGTGCCCACTGGGGGAGGAGAAATCCAGTGAGGAAGGAGCAGTGGTGGGGAAGGGGTTCAAGTTAAAAGACTGTGGAACAGTCTTCCTTCAGACCCCCATCAGGAGTAGAGAACAAAACAAACTAAACATTCCATTCCATTGGGCCTTAAAGTAAACTAAAATACCAGGCTGAATTGGGCAGAGAGACAGTCAGTTCTCTGGAAAACGATAGAGAATCCAGACCCAGGGCACTTTGCAGCAGTGCCACACTCCCACTCGACATCACTCTGGGAAGAGGCCCACGATGCTTGAAAGTGTGTAATGACTCTGCTCTTGAAATAAAGCCTTATCGGATATCTTATGGATATCTTATGGAACTGGGGACAGATGCCTGCTATGAGGAGTTTTCCCTGAAAACTAAAAAACCGTCTGATATTTCTGAGAATTCTGAGTTAATCTGGTAGTGTGGAGTGATGGGGTTTCTACTGGAATTATCTGGATAATTATATTATACTCTACTTTTGATTGATCCACAGAGCTTGTGGAAGTTTTTTTTAGGTTTTCAAGGGAACTATAGTGGTCCCCAATTTTCTCCCGCTGTCCAGGTCCCATCCAGCCCTCATGGTAGCACCAACATCACCACCATGCCCAAGAATAAAAGAAAAATGAAGAATGGGATAAAGAGAAGGAATAAGTTCAAAAAAGAGAGAGGGCAGAGGACATGGATGAGGTAAAGTGGGAGGGAGACAGAAAGCTGTATAGAAGGCATTCCAGAGACTTTTTCACCTTTAGAGCAAAACTGGAATGAATTTGAATCAAAAGATAAAAAAACAATCCTGGAATTTTACCTTGCTCCACTCCATCTTAAACTTACTTTAAAGGATACTAGTGCCAAGTCTATTCTACCAAAGCAAAGTGGAGACTGGAAGGGGTTATGTAAGATATTGTTTTAATGTTTTCAATAAACATGTGCAGATAATTCGCTAAAATTTTTTCACCTGAGTCCTCATTTGCTTATGTGCCGTGGGCTTCAGCCATCTTCCCAAGTTTGCTCTTCATCGTTTTGCAAAATTTCCTTTACCCTCATGGATCAAAAGCCCAAGAAAACAATCTTCTTAGGTACAGAAATAAATGACTGACTTACCTGGTATTGAGGATGTGTCCTCATAATTCCAAACCAAGAGAAGAAAGCCAGTGAGCAGCAGGATTGCAATGCTGGCAACAGGCGCAACTTCGGTCACCATGCTGGTGATGTTATAATGCCTTGGGTTCAGCACTTCCAAAACCATCTTGCGTTGCTTGAACTCAGGAGAAGCAACTTAAAGTCCTGTGGAAATCAGAGGGTCAGAAAAATTAGAGAATCCTCCAAAATGTACATTTACGACTCCTCTTACTTCAGAGGATGCTGTACTGTAGAGATGGGCGTTCTGTTTTGTAATGTGATTGGACACTTAGACAAGACAAATTTATAGTTACAAGTCAAAACAAGCAAGCCCAAGACAGATCTTTTGGCTTGAAGTGCAGCATTTCTGACCTTGGTAGAGTCTCAGGTTCGTTTAGACGCTTGGTCTGATAGAACCTTATCATCTTGCCCTTGAGTGGGTAGAGTGACTGAATTCCCAATTGAGAGCCAAATTTCTTACCAAAATACATGAAAATGAAGCTCATTCCAGAGGTGGAGTCATTCTATGACTTCATCAGCAGATTTTGTTTAGACAATCTTTTTCCCTTCAAGCCAAATAAATTTTTTAAAAAAGCATTCCCCAATATTCTTCCTTGCTCAAAATTACTTCCCCCAAAGGGTAAGCTTCTTCAGTAAGAAGGTGTTTCATGGGCATCACTGAGGCATTCTCAGGTTGTCTGTTGAATTCAACATGATTCACTCAGGACAATCTTTTCTTATTGGCTTTGATGAAGCTTAAATCTTGCACCATGGACTTGATGAAGCAGTGCACATGGGCCTATGACAGAGTTAGTAGGAAAGAAGAATAGGCGAGGAAGAATAAAAGGAGAGGAAGAAAAAAGAAGTGGGGAAGCAGGAGGAAAAGAGAGGACATAGTAGATGCCACCAGCAGTAGGCTCAGGTGCCACTCAGCAACCGAGCTCCCTACAACAGCTGGTGTCCTGTGCAGGACATTTTTCAGTTTGATTTGCTGATTCTGATGTGGTTTTCTCTTCTTTTTTTTTTTTTTTTTTTTTTTTTGAAAGCATATTTTTTTCTGCTTTATTTAGATGTAATTGACATACAGCAGTGTATAAGTTTAAGGTGTACAACATAATGATTTGACTTACATACATCCTGAAATGATTATCAAAATAGATTTAGTGAGCATCCATCATCTCATACAGATATAACATTAAAGAAATAGAAAAAAAATTTTTTTCTTGTAATGAGAACACTTAGGATTTACTCTCTTAACAATTATCACATATAAGATGCAGCAGTGTTAATTATCTTTTTTTAAACATCTTTATTGGCGTATAATTGCTTTACAATGGTGTGTTAATTTCTGCTTTATAACAAAGTGAATCAGCTATACGTATACATATATCCCCATATCTCCTCCTCCCTCTTGTGTCTCCCTCCCAGTTATCTTTATTGTATTGTACTTTATCATCCCTCGTACTTATTTATCTTATAACCGGAAGTTTGTACCTTTTCACCACCTTCATTTAATTCTGCATCCCTCCACCCCCTGCCTCTGGTAGCCACAAGTTTGATTTCTTTTTCTATGAGTTTGTTTGTTTTTGAGGTATAATTGACCTACAACACTATGTTGGTTTCTGGTACACAGCATAGTGATTTGATATTTTTATACATTTCAAAATAATCACCATGGTAAATCTAGCTGTTATTTGTCACCATAGAAAGATATTACATAATTATTGACTATATTCCCACACTGTACATTTCATACCCATAATTCACTTACTTGTACCTCTTAATCTCCTTCACCTATATTTTTCCTCCCCCAGACCCCTCCCCTCTGGCAATCACCTGTCTTTTCTCTGTACCTATGACTTTCTTTCTGTTTCGTTACATTTGTTTTGGTTTTTAAATTCCGCATATAAGTGAAATCATATAGTATTTGTGTTTCTCTGTCAAACTTATTTCACTTAGCATAATGCCCTCTAGGTCCATCTATGTTGTCACCAATGGTAATAGTTCATTCTTCTTTATGGCTGAGTAGTATTCCATTACACACACACACACACACACACACACACACACACACCACATCTTCTTTATCCGTTCATCTGTTGATGAGCCCTTAGGTTGCTTCCATATCTTGGCTATTGTAAGTAATTCAGCAATAAACATATGGGTGCATATATCTTTTTGAATTAGTGTTTTCATTTTCTTCCATAAATACCCAGAAGTGGAATTGCTGGGTCACAGGTATTTCTATTTTTAATTTTTTGAGGAACCCTCATACTTTTTTCCATAGTGGCTGCAACAATTTACATTCCCACCAACAGTGCACAAGCGTTCCTTTTTCTCCACATCCCCACCAATACTTATTTGTTCTCTTTTTGATGATAGCCATTCTGACTGGTGTGAGGTGATATCTCATTGTGATTTTGATTTGTATTTCCTGGATTATTAGAGATGTTGAGCATCTTTTCATGTGCCTGTTGGCCATCTGTATGTTTTCTTTGGAAAAATGTCTATTCAGGTCCTCTGTCCATTTTAAAATTGGGTTGTTTGTGTTTTTGATGTTGAATTATATGTGTTCTTTGTATATTTTGAAGATTAACCTTTGTTGGATTTGAAAATCCAACATTTGAAAATATCATTTGAAAATATCTTCTTCCATTCAGTAGGTGATCATTTTGCTGATAGTTTCCTTAGCTGTACCAAAGATTTTTTGCCGTAGTCCCATTTATTTATGTTTGCTCTTGTTTTCCTTGCCTGAGGAGACATATCCCCCCAAATACTGCTAAAACTGATGTAAAAGAGTTTATTGTCTGTGTTTTCTTCTAAAAGTTTTATGGTTTCAGGTCTTACTTTGAAGTCTTTAATCCATTTAAATTTATTTTTGTATATGGTGTGAGAAAGTAGTCCAGTTTGATTCTTTTGCATGTAGCTGTCTGGTTTTCTCAATACCATTTATTGAAGGGGCTGTCTTTTCCCCCATTGTATATTCTTTGTTCTTTATTGTAGCTTAATTGCCCATATGAGTGTGAGTCATTTCTGCACTCTCCATTCTGTTCCATTGATCTATGTGTCTGTTTTTTGTACCAGTACCATACTAGTTTGATGACTATAGCTTTGTAGTATAGTTTCAAATCAGGGAGTGGGATACCTCCTGTTTTGTTCTTCTTTCTTAAGATAGATAGTCTTGGCTGTTCTGGGTCTTTTTTGTTTCCATACAAATTTTAGAATTACTTGTTCTTGTTCTTTGAAGAATGTTATGGGTGTGGGTTTTTTTGTTTTTTAATTTATTTTTTATTATTTTATTTTTAACAATTTATTGGAGTATAATTGCTTTACAATGGTGTGTTAGTTTCTGCTTTATAACAAAGTGAATCAGTTATACATATACATATATCCTCATATCTCTTCCCTCTTGTATCTCCCTCCCTCCCACCCTCCCTATCCCACCCTTCTAGCTGGTATTGAATCTGTAGATTGCCTTGGGTAGTATGATCATTTTAACATTATTAGTTCTTCCAATCCATGAGCACAATATAGCTTTCCATCTGTTTGTGTCATCTTCAGTTCCTTTCATTGGTGTCTTATACTTTTCCAAGTATAGGTCTTTTACCTCCTTAGTCAGATTTATTCCCAGGTATTTTATTCTTTTTGATGTGATTGTGAATGGGATTGCTTTTTAAATTTTCTCTTTCTGTTAGTTTCTTTTTAGTATATAGATGTGCAACAGATTTCTGCAGATTTCTTGCAGAAGTCTCCTGCAACTTCACTGAATTCATTGTTGAGCCCTAGTTTTTTTGTTTTTTTTTTTTTGGTTTTTTGGTGGTGTCTTTAGGATTTTCTATGTGTAGTGTCAAGTCATCAGCAAACGGTGACAGTCTTACTTCTCCCATTCTAATGTGGATTCCTTTTATTTCTTTTTCTTCTCTGATTGCTGTGGCTAGGACTTCCAAAACTATATTGAATAAAAGTGGTAAGAGTGGGCATCCTTGTCTTGTTCCTGATCTTAGAGAAGAATATTTCAGCTTTTCAACACTGAGTATGTTGTTAGCTGTGGGCTTGTCATATATGGCCTATTATGTTGAGTTATGGTCCCTCTATTCTCACTTTGTTGAGAGTTTTTATTATAAATGGATGTTGAATTCTGTCAGAAGATTTTTTGCTTCTATGGAGATGATCTTATGATTTTTATTCTTCAGTTTGGTAAGGTGGTGAATCAAATGGATTGATCTGCAGATATGGAACCATCTTTACATCCCTGGGATAAATCCCAATTGATCATGACGTACGATCCTTTTAACGTATTGTTGACTTTGGTTTGCCAATATTTTGTTGAGGATTTTTACATCTATGTTCATCAGTGATTTTGGACTGTAATATTCTTTTTGTGTGTTATCTTTGTCTGGTTTTGATATCAGGGTGATGCTGGCCTTGTAGAATGAGTTTGGAAGTGTTTCTTCCTCTGAAAAGTTTTGGAATAATTTAAGAATGAGTGTTAACTATCTTCTAACTCTTCGGTAGAATTCACCTATGAAGCCATCTGGTCCTGGACTTTTGTTTGTGGGAGTTTTTTTTTTTTTCTGATTCAATTTCATTAATGGTAATTGGTCTGCTCATATTTTGTATTTCTTCCTGATTCACTCTTGGGAGATTGTACATTTCTAGGAATTTGTTAATTTCTTCTAGGTTGTCTATCTTACTGACATATAATTGTTGGTAGTAATCTCTTATGTTCCTGTGTATTTCTGTGGTGTCGGTTTTAACTTCTTTTTATGATTTATTGATTTGGGCCCTCTTTGTTCTTGATGAGTCTGGCTAAAGATTTTCCAATTTTGTTTATCTTTTCAAAGAACCAGCTCTTAGTTTTATTGATATTTTCTTTTTTTTTTTAGTCTCTATTTCTTTCATTTCTGCTCTGTTTTCATGATTCCTTTCTGTTTTCATTTTCCTTTGTTTCCAGGTATTCTTTAAATTTCCTCTTTGATTTCTTCAGTGACCCATTGGTTGTTTAGTAGCATATTGTTTAGCCTCTACATTGTGGTGGTTTTTTTGTTTGTTTTGTTTTTTGCGGTACGTGGGCGTCTCACTGTTGTGGCCTCTCCCATTGCAGAGCACAGGCTCCAGACGCGCAGGCTCAGCGGCCATGGTTCATGGGCCCAGCCGGTCCGTGG